CTGAGGGTTGCGATCCGTTGCCGGACACGGAAAAAGACAAAAGACAAAAAAAAAAAAGAAGCATGTATTTTTGATTGGAAGAAAGCATTTGAAATTCAGAATATAATGTGAATTATGTCAACTCAGAATAGAGAAACTATAGCACACTCTCACGTTGGATGACACAGTATCTTTTGTCATAGCCACATGGCCCAGTTGAGTGGCTGCCGTAGTGCCTCAATTCAGTCTGGGTTTTCAGATGAAGACTCGGAGAGCTGGTTGGGTGGTGGTAACAATGGGCACAAAACTTTCGAAAGGAGGTAGCAGGTTTGTCCTAAACTTCTATTTTTGCCTCTTAATCCCCCCGTCAAGTTTACATATAAGAAAACAGGAAGCAAAGTAAACTTTCATTTATCTACGTGCTCTTCACTGCGCTATGCTTCACGTGCATTATCATCATTTACTCTCATTGCACTGTGATGTCAGCAGCAAACATATTTTACATATGAGGACATGCAAGTTGGCAGACTTCCATTCCACAGACATTGTCTCTGCTAACACAATGCTTTTTATTTTCATTTTCATTTCGTTCTACCCAATCACAATGGTAATCGCTGAGACTATCTTTTGTTTTAAAAACGTAAGTTGCCATTAATATGTATTTGGGGCAAAAAGTTCTGCTTATCACTCCTCACAATTGTGTGACCTCAAAGCAACAAAATCCTCAAGACTGGTTTTCTAGCTATCACATTTGTACTCTATAAAAGCTCTATTTGAAACATGGACAATAATCCAGAACAAAGTCATACAGGTTGAATAGAAGGAAAAAAATGGAACCATTAGAGTATCTTACCCTTGTTAAATTTTGCTTTTGGCCCATAAAATGCATAAAGAACCCTCATAAGATAAGATTTGGAAAATATTTCTAGTTATGGTTTAGACACAGGTATCGATGATGCATAGAACCTTTCGCTTTAATAAGCCATGCAAGTTATTTCAGGAGCAACAGTTGACTGTTATAGTTATACTCTGGTTTGGTAATTTCACATATAAATTTTTTTTTTTAGTAATAAAACATTCCAAACATACAAAAAAGGAAAAACACAACATAACAGGCAGCTAAGCACCCATCACCCAAATTAAACAGATGTTAACGTTCTGACCTTACTTAAAATTTCTCTTGTACCATATACATAATCCAAAAAGTCAGATATATTAAAGCTCACCTCACATCCTTCCCCAAGGAAGTCTCTTTCCTTAAGTTAGCATGTACCA